GTAATATATGTTCTTGGTTAAAAAAATCAAACTGAAGAGGTTGTAAAGAAAAATAACCGTCCTGAGCCTTGTCCCTTTGCCTTGCTCACTAGAGGTCACATGTTCTAATTTTAGCTGTTTCTTCTTATAGTTTCTGCCATGTTTCCAAATAATATGCATTGTAGCTATTTCTAGATTTATCAGTTTTAGCTATTAGCTGTTGACTTCTGTTAATTTAGCTGAGTTCTTATCTCGGTTTACTTTCTACCCCCTTCTTTTAATATAATTATATTACTCCCTTATTGGTTATGTTTGCAACTTTAAAATATTTGTACCCTTATTATTATATCAATTAGAGATATCATATGATTTGAGAACACTTTTCTCTCTAAACTTATCATTTTATTTTTACGATGTTGGAATTGATAAGATTATATTGAGATATGTATAGTTAAATATTTCATGCTTTGACTATATGTTGGTTTTAAAAATTGTAGATTAATAAGGTGTTTTCATTGTCATGACAGTGATGAGACATGATGTGATTTGTTCTCCCTTCTTGCACAGCTTTAGTTTTCTTTGGTACTACTTTCTTTTTCTGCCCCCTCCCCACCCCCAAATTATATACCTATATTGACTTATTTTTTTGAAAAGATTTTTATTTATTTGAGAGAGAGATAAAGAGAGAGAGAGAGAGAGAACGAGCCAGGGGTGGGAGGTGGGCAGAGGGAGAGGGAGAAGCAGGCTCTCCACTGAGCAGGGAACCCGATGTGGGGCTCGATCCCAGGACCCAGGGATCATGACCTGAGCTGAAGGCAGACACTTAACCACCTGAGCCACCCAGGTGCCCTGTATATTGACTTTTCATGTTGTTTCAAATGATCAGTAATATCCTCAGATCCTGATCTTTATCTTCTAGAACTTCTGTTCTTGGAATCATTCTATGCTGAATGCTTTCTTTTAGCTTCCTTCCTGCTTTCTATATTTGGAGCTACTTTTCCCCTTGGTTCTCATGTTATCTTCTTCCCTTACTCCTTCACTTTGCTCATACACATACCCAAGTAACTTCCCAAGAAAAAATATGTGGTAGGAGAATGCCTGGGTGGCTTAGTGGTTGAGCATCTGCCTTGGGCTCAGGGTGTGATCCCGGGGTCCAGAATGGAGTCCCACATCGGTCTCCTTGCAGGGAGCCTGCTTTTCCCTCTCCCTCTCCCTTTCTCTCTCTCTCTGTCTCATGGATATATAAATAAAATCTTTTTTTAAAAAAAGGATATGTGGTAGGGCACCTGGCTGGCTCAGTCGGTTAAGCAACTGACTCTGGATTTTGGCCCAGGTCATGATCTCAGGGTCCTGGGATTGAGCCCTGTACTGAGCTCTGCACTCAGCAGGGAGTCTGCTTGAGGAGTTTCTCTTCCCCTTCCCCTCCTGCCACTCACACTTGTTCTCAAATAAATAAATAGATCTTAAAAAAAAAAAAGAATATGTGGGAAATAACTTTCCTAGGTCTTTGCACATCTGGATATCTTTATTCTAGTCTCCCATTTGATTGTTTTAATTTTTTAAAAATGTCTCTGGCTTTTTTTCATGTTGTTCTTTATGCTGTTGCTACTAAGATGCGTGTTGTTTCTCTTGAATTGATGCTCTGTGTCTTATTTTTAAAAATGCTTCTATCTCTTTCTGTCTTATCTATGAGACTCTATCTTCTAATATTTATGTTGAATTTTTAATTACTCACTTTTACTTTATTGAGGGTCTTACCTGTAATCTTATTTTTTTCATAGCATCCTGTTCTTGTTTTATGGTTATAATAGCTCTTAAATCTCTATGAGGATACTAAATGAGGGTTTTGTTAAAGTTATTTTTTGTTTCTTATATTATTTCTACTTCTTCAATAGTCATTTTTTCTGTTCTTTTTTACTCTAATTTTTGTGGATTTTTATCTTTTTATTTCATATATTTTTATTTTAGAGGTTCCTAGGATAGGAGAGAAAATAAACACATGCAGTCAAATCATTATGGATAACTGGCTGTTATTCCTTCTTAGCACGTAACTTTAGTTGGGCATTAGCCATGAAAGAGCTCACTCAGTTTTTCCCAACTATTTGAGGTCTTTGAGGAAAATTGCTTATACTTTTAGGAATCAACAAGAGAGTTAAACTGATCGGACTTCATGTATACTTAGGGGTGATTTAGTGAATTTTTTTCATTATTTTTTTTTTTTTAGGGAAAGCCATGTGCATGAGTGAGGTGGCAGTAGAGGGAGAGGGGGAGAGAGAATCCCACATGGGGCTTGATCTCATGACCCTGAGATCACACCTGAGCCAAAATCAAGAGTAAGACACTTAATTGACTGAGCGACCCAGGTGCTCCTGACTTAGTGAATTTTGTACTTCTTTTAAGGCTTGGTTGTTCTGTTCAAGAATAATTCAGGAAAAGAAGGCCAACATGAAGGGTTATCCCTTTTTAAAAAATAATATCTTTATTGAGATACAACTCACATTCCATAAATTTCACACTTTTTAAATGTATGATTTGTGTGTTCAGAGTTATGCATCCATCACCATGATCACATTCAAGAACATTTTCATCACCCCAAAAAGAAACTCCATACCCATTGGCAGTCACTACATCTTCCCACCCCTCCCCTCCAGGCCCCTGGCAATGATGAATCTACTTTCTGTGTCTATGGATTTGCTGCTTCTGGACTTTTCACGTAAACGGAACCAAAAAATATGTGACTTTTTGTGTCTGGCTTCTTTCACTTAGCAATATATTTTTAAGGTTCATCCATGTTGCAATATGTATCAGTATTTTGTTTCTTTTTATTGCCAAATAGATACCACATTTTGTCTGCCCATCAGTTTAAGGGTATTTTGGATTGTTTCCACATTTTGGCTATTATGAATAATGTTGCTATGAACATTCATGTACAAGTTTTTATGTAGACATATGTTTCCATTTCTCTTGAGCATGTAGGAATAGAACTGCTGAGTCATGTGGTAACATTATGTGTAACTTTTGAAGAATTGCCAAACTCTTTGTCAAATTGAATGCACCATTTTATATTCCCATAAACAGTGCACAAAGGTTCCAGTATGAGGGTTCTAATTTCTCCACATCCTCATCAACACTTGCTATTGTCTTTTTTATTATAGCCATCCTAGTGGTATACCTGAAGGGTTATTCTATCTCCAGAACATAGTCAGAGACCTTTGACAGTCAAGCCCATCCTAGGCTGGTCTTCAGGCTTATCTCCTCTGAATCTTCCTGGCTACCCTTTGTCTACACCAGTCTTTATGTGTTCCATGCTGCCAGACCTTTGCTCATGCTGGTCGTCAGTCTGGAATGTTCCCTTCCTCTCACAACCTCTTGAGTTCACCAAAGGCAGACAATATGTTTTCATTTCTCTAAGTATTGTTTTTGTATCATATGTGGTAGTTACATGTTAGGCATTCAGAATGTTTGAATGAGACTTACTTATCTTTCCAGGGTAGAGCAAGTTCAAATGTGACCCCTCTGAGACACAGTTCTTTACCTCCCTTGGAGTTAATCATTTTATTACTGGTTTCTTTAGTTAGTTGTACACATGTCTTTTTGTCCTGATAAGTTCCTGGAATGCATGGATCATATCTCAGCCTTGTTATCTCCAGGGTCTCATCATGGGCTTGGTACCTAGTGGGTACTCAAGGACTATATGGGAGAAATGGAGGTAAAGACTGGTTGCAGATTTTCAGGAAAAGCATATTTATAAAATTAACAGGTGTATTCTTTAACTTAATGAAAGTTGTGTTTTATGTTCCTTTTAAATAGCTGAAAGCATTTCCAAGAAGAGTTTACCATATTTAGTTATTTCTCCTCCCTTTGGTTCCTCTATTTCTTCCCACATAAATAAGAAGGGATGATTACCCATACTGTGAATATATTGTAGATGCTGTACTAGAACAAAATTAGCCTCCCAATTAAATGAGGACATTATATGTCACTTTGCACAGTATGCATTTCATTTTGCGCAGTGTGCATATGTAAACAAAACCCCCTCAGTTCACAACAAAAGAAGGGTTGTGTGTGTGTGTGTGTGTGTGTGTGTGTGTTTTCCCCCCTTGGGGAAGTATTCTGTGGAGACGAGAGAGACAAGCTAAAATAATGATGATACTTAATTTCTGGATGCTATTTGCTTAATTTGAGGTCTTATTATTTTATTTTATTTTTTAATTTGAGGTCTTAAAGAGAAAAAGATGGACAGTTGATTACCTGAGCGCAAAAAGTACTGAAGACTTTTGATCTTGAAAAATGTGGGAAGTGGTGAGAACACACCGAACAGCCATACGTCTCTGGCCCACTTAATTTGCATCCGAAGTGCATGTGGGCTGGTAGTCAGTGAAAAGAGATCTGAAATGTGGCTTCTGTGGCTACAAAATCTGAGAATCAGCAAGAAGGTTTTTGCCATTGTGAGCATCTGGATCAGGTTGTATAGGCTCTATATTAGGAGGGTCTAGTCACTTCCTAAGTAAGAGGAGGGCTGTCTGGTGTGTGTGTTCCATGAGGTGATCCTCTGTCTTCCTTCCTCTGTCTCTCTAAGAAGGCTGTCAAAAGACAAACAAGGCTGAGATGCCAGATGGAGCCCAGAAGAAATTCCTTTTGCATTCTCTCTTGCTCCAGAGTACTATGTACTTTCTTTGAGATGAGTTAGTACTTGCACGTGTCTCTTAGGAATCACTGGATTTCTGCAGGATTCATTGGTTGGTTGGTTAGGTATGTTTCCATTGCTAAATTCCTCTTAGAGGACAATAACCTTAGCATTTGAATTCAAAATACTCAACTTAAAGGACTGTTCTTTTGTATTCCTCACAGGGCCATTTCCTGTTCAAGAGACTGTTTTAGAGGGAAGCCAAGATACCTGGATTGGTTGACATTATCTGTGTCCTCATTGAATCTCAACTAATGTCTTGCCTCCTATACCCTTTTCTTTTCTTTTCTCCTTCTCCTTCTTCTTCTCCTTCTTCTTTTTTTTTTTTTAACAGATACTAATTTTGTATTGGGGAATGCCCAGATAGTGGACTGGCCTATCGTGTACAGCAATGACGGATTTTGCAAGCTGTCTGGCTATCACAGGGCGGAAGTGATGCAAAAAAGCAGTACCTGCAGGTATTTATGTTTGGGGCTGTTCTGTTGAACAATCTATCACAGTACCTTCTGGAAAAATAAAATGGCTGACTCGGTGTGGGGATTGCCTTTCTCTCATTTAGTGTTAATTCATATTCATAGTAACATTATCTCTCGTTCATGTACTGTACTGAGAAATTGAAGAAGCCTTAAAACATGGTCTCTGCTACCTGATGGACTTGCAGTCACTGAGACGGAGGCACCTAGAAAAACTCAAGAAAGTCATTTTATCTAGAAAATGGGGACTCAGAAGTTTATGAGGTATTAGATGAAATGATATGAAAGTTAGATGTTGAAATGAAATGAACATGAAACAAAATTTTAGGTGATTAATCTCTGAAAATACATGACTGAGAAGAATCACTATGACGTTGGCCACAAGGGCCTTGTTCAGAGGGCTTTTCACCAGAGAAAGAAGAGAGCTGGGATTGGGTTGCCTTCTAATTCATGCTGTCACATCTCTGGTAGCTAACTCAAAGGCAGAGGCAAATGGTGCTAACAGCGCACGCGGCCTATGCACTTGACAGTGCATAGTGGCCACCTATGCACTTACCAAGAAGTACCCTTGGGTCGGGGCACTAGCACTAGAAATGCTCCTTTAAAGCATCCACAAGGTGTGGAGCAGAGCAGAGCTAGCAGAACGAGCAGTGCACGTGCCTGGCCCTCCTACAGCCCCAGCCCTGCGGTGCCCTGGCAAGGTCTCAGCTCAGTCCAGCCTTCAACTCCTCTCCCTCACCTTCTTCGGAGTCTTCTGTCTTCAGTGGTGTTTGCATGAAGTGAAATCATCTTCCCAGACCTGGCAAATCCAGAAATAAAGTCAGCTCCGGAGGGTGGAAAAACCTGTCTGACACAGGCATAGTCTTCGGTTGTCAGAAGTTGCATTTTGAGGCTATGAAATCAGGCATGTGACGAGTTATGGTGAAAAGTATTACATGCTTTGAAAATATCATTTCCTTAAATTGTAGGTGTTTTGGGGCTGGGAAATCTGAGATTCCCCTTCTTCCCTGAAAGGTTTAGAAGTTATGACTCTTACGTACTGTAGTTGAATTCTCTGATGTTTGTGGTGTGCTCTTACCCTCGTTTCTGTCTCTGTATCTGCATCTCTGTCAGTATTTGCACATATACCATCAAAACAAATCGGGAGAGTCAGCCTCACTTTTTGATGTGACCTGAGCAACCTTTCCTTCCCTTTCTTGCTTCTTATTGGCTTTAATCAGACACGTGAAGAAGATCAGATAACTTGCAAATTTAGTCACTTTCCCTTTTATGCACCATGGTGGGAAAGTTCTTTAATTCCCTGAATGTGTCCCTTTTCCTAAAGATGAAGCAAACCTGCCTTGTTTGTGCTGGCTCTGTTCCCAGGAGCTCAGGAGCCCCTTTGTGCTTATTTATTGCATTGCAGGTATTTGAAATCCAATGTCCGGGTAAAGGAAACTTATAGCTGCCAGTAAATTACAGTTTGAGGAAGTACATTAGACTAATGAAAGCTGGGTGTGATTATGGCACCTCACTCATTTCAAGCCTTCATTTTACAGGGATTTGTTTTACCTTGTGAAGGAAACAGCCAGCATATACACCATCATGTCACTTAAATGGAAGGTGCTTATATAGCAAATTAACTCAGAAAGAAAACGTGGGAGGAAGCTAGAAAGGCAACTGGCTAAATAAGATGATCACAGAGCCTAGTTTTTACGTCCTAGGAGTTGTCCTCTTGTTCTCAGGCAGGGCTAATTTAGTCTTGACCTAGCCGTCTTTTAAAAGATAATTCAACAAGATCAGTTATCTGTTTTCCTGATTTATAGATGAAAAGCAGAGTGCTACATGAGAGAAGCACAAGGGCAACCATAGATAATAATGTCGCTCAGTGAGCTGGGAAGGGACATAATAACAAAAGTGACACAGAATTCATAATGTCAACAGTGAGGGCACTTTTTTTTTTTTTTTTAAATACAGTGCTGGCAGTGGGAAGCCTGCAGTAAAGCTCAAGGCTTCCAATATCAAGCCAAGCAAGGCTCTTGAGTTGGTGGTAGACTCTGAGGTTCTTTGTGGCTCTGAAATTCTGTGATTCAAGTGATCAAGATCAAGTTAGATTGCATTCGGTGTGCACAGTTTCTGAAGATGGAGATTATATTGTTTAGGAACATACACCACTGCTTCCACGTCACCCTAGGTTCGGGGGCTGCACATTGGTGTCCTTCTTGTTCTGGTCACAAGAAGGCCTGAGGTGGACAGGGGAAGTGCTCGCTGGGTCCATGGGGAGCCTGAGTCCTGTCCCATTGAGAGATGGCTTTTCCCCTCTTCCATGCCATTAGTGTCCTGTGCCATTGTTTATTCCACCCAGTGGGGGGTGGATCTTATTCCCAGAGGGACAAACCTTATTCACAGTGGGATTCAGGAAAATGGGCAGTCCTGGCAGTTTTCCTGCCTCTGCTGAGAACCGGAATTAGTTGGTAGGAACATCTATCTAGAGGTTTTCTTTAATTTTCCTTCATGCTACTTATTTCCCCCCTTAGTATACTTTCCTCCAAATGTGAGCGGTAGGGAGGTGTACTGGTAAGAACTGTAGGATTTTATCATTTCTATTTTTTAAACCCAGTGCTTTTTTGGGGGTGGGGTGGGTAGGAAACAGAGCTGCACAGACAGTGGCTGAATCTTCTGTTTATTTCCTTAGCTCTGCCTTAATGATTAGAGCATCAAATTGTACCCTTTGGTGCAATTCTTTGGTTGATGGATTTTTGTGATTTTTCCTATTCTTTTGTTTATTTGAATGGGAATTAGGAGAGGGAAAAAAAAATCTGTCTCCCAGATTTGCTCCGCCATCTTCCCCGGGAAATTTCCCAGAGTTGTATTTTAAAATGCACATCTGATTATGTAACCCTTTTGCTTAAAACCTTCCAATGTCTCTCCCCAAGCCCCCTGCCCACCCTGTTGCTTTCAAGATAAGGCTGAACTTACTTCACATGGCTTATATGCCATGTACGCCTTCATGATTTGGTTTGTGCTTGTCTTTCTATGTTGTCTCTTGTGAAATCTCCCTTCATTGTGTATATTCCAGTCACACTGAACTGAACGACATTCAGGTTCTAGAATTAACCTTACTCTCACATCTCTGTCTTTGCACATACTTTTCTTTCACCTGGAATGTTCTTTTCCCTCCTTTGCCTTCAAATTTCCACCTGCTCTTTAGATTTCCTCTATCTTTACCTCTGGGAAGCCTTCACTGAGCCCTCAGGGCTCTGTGCCCATGTCCTGTGTTCTGTAATTCCACATGCACTGGTCACACTGTTTTCGGATCCACTCTTTTTTATGTTTCTCCCTTATTATACTGTTCATTTCTGGGGGGTGGAGTGCTGATGAATCAGTACATTTTTTTTGATTGATTGAATGTTCTGTGTGTGTGTGTGTGTGTGTGTGTGTGTGCGTGTTCATTCCACACAGCACAGTGCGAGGTATAGGAAAGATGCTTAACATATGCTGGTACAATCATCAATATTTGTTTAACTAACTTGAGTTTTTTGGTTGATTTGCAGTTTTATGTATGGGGAGCTGACTGATAAAGACACAATTGAAAAGGTGCGGCAAACGTTTGAGAACTATGAGATGAATTCCTTTGAAATTTTGATGTACAAGAAGAACAGTGAGTATCCAGACCATCCTGAACCATACCTTCACGTGCTCGGAATAGTAAAAGAGATCCTCTAACTTGGTTGACGTCTTGGGTTTTCTTCTCCTCATCAGCTAAATGTTACTTGAGGCTATCATGTATGTTGGGATAAATGGTATAGATTGCAGAGTTACACTGTGCCTAATGGAACACTTGAACTTGTCCACCGAACAGTTAAGACTTCTTGATCTCAGGGCACCTGGCTGGGTCAGTTTGTAAATCATGTGACTCTTGATCTTGAGGTTGTAAGCTTGAGCCTGATGTTGGGTGTAGAGATTACTTAAAAATAAAATCTTATTAAAAAAAAAAAAGATTTCTTGATCTCTTTTTCTGCCAAGCTAGTGTTTTTCCTATTGGTTTACTTATGGTGAGCTGCTAGCTGAAGACACTTGTAGGCTTTAAGCCTTCTAGGGGGAGGGGAAGGCATGGGAGAGTGACTCTGGCCAGGTCATCTTTGAATCTACCCTCCACAGTGCCTAGGGACAGCAGGTATCACCAGTAGATGCCCTGTTAGGTGAAGGGGAGATTAAGAGTACACTTACCTTGATGAGCACTGAGTAATATATAGAATTGTCAAGTCACTATGTCGTGCACTTGAAACTAATATAACACTGTATTTTAACTACACTGGAATTAAAACAAAAAGCTTCTGAAGAAAATTTTCTTCTCCTGATAACTCTAGTTTTCATCAGAGACAGTATTAATATTCAGAGTGGATTGTGAGTGAATTAGTATTTGTTTTGGATAGTTACTTCCACAAAGTATGTTAACGAAGAATTTAGCTCAATAGCCATACACAGGTATAGCACTTGCTTTTCTCTTCTGAGGTTTCCTGTTGAATGGAGATTAGCTATGTTAGAAGTATGGAAAAGTGGGGCATGTGGCCATAGCAGGGCTGCAGAGATGTCAAATTGTGCTGTATTGTTGGTTTGAAAAAATGATTTTGTTTGTAAAGCATTCTGTTCTTTATATGTTGGATGGAATGGTAGATCATAGGTTCAATAGAACATTTCCAGAGCGGCCCAGATGGCACATGAGGATAAGTGTTTATCTTGGTGGCATTCACAGTGATGCATCTTGCTCTGGAAAGCAAAGGCCACGTGTTTTTCTTTGGAAGGAAGTGGGTCTTTTCTTCAGTCTGGAGGTTGGGGCAGGCAGCTGAGGGGACCATTTGCTTGCTCAGTGGCCTGTGCTGATGCTGATCTGAGAACCTTACTCGGGGCATCAACTAATCTAAGAGAGTTGGTCCTGTAGCTTTCATACTAGCATGGTGACTTGTTCTGTCTTCCTCCCTTAGCTGGTAGGTTTAGTTCCTACCCAGGAGAGGAACGGGTGAAAGACTATGAATGGCTCTGCCCTGGTCCTCCATTATGGGTAGTACAACCCAAAGCACCAGCTCTTACCAGGAGCACACTGGCCTTTTCATGGGGAGGAGATGCTCTGCCCATGTGCCCCCAGCTAATGGAGTAAGTTCAAGGTTTTCCACACTGGGAGCTTTGCGTACTGAACAGTATGGATTTCCCCTTGACGCAGAATACTAATTGGGTAGGTGTATCACAAAAATAATGCTTTGCATTTATATTTTGCTTCAGAGTTTTCAAGCTTCATTAGACTATGCATTTAACTTGCTCAAATTATATGTGTTTGGCACAAAAGGGAGATAAGGGGAAACTTAATTTAAGTTGAGTCAGTGATTTCACTTGCTATTCCCTTCAGGGAGCATGTAGCCCAGAGGAAGTGCATGATGAGGGAGGGGAAGCTGCTCTTCTCTCTACCGCTTCTGGGGCTGAAGGCCTTGTGTTGTGAGCATCTCATGGCACTGAAGGTGATTCTGGTATCTGAGGTTCTGTACTTTGGGTAGACATGGCCCCCACATGTAAGCCAATTGGTTCAACTAATGTTCTACCAAGAAACGAGCCTCTCTTCCCTCCTTTGAGGTTGTGGTAGGCGTATTGACAGATGCATGCCAGTCTTCATGGGGGCTACATCAGCCTTCGCATGGGACTCTACTTCCTGGGTGGTGGCAAAAAAATTTTCAAGAGTAATTGTGGTCCTATGCAATTTTTACCTTACCCTTTGACTTGAGAAAATAAACTCTGTGGAAGATATGACTCCACTCTTATTTTATCTTATTTTTATTTTTAAAGATTTTATTTATCCATTCATGAGAGACACAGAGAGAGGCAGAGACATAGGCAGAGGGAGAAGCAGGCTCCCTGTGGGGAGCCTGATGTGAGACTCGATCCTGGGTCCCCAGGACCATGCCCTGAGCTAAAGGCAGAGGCTCAAACACTGAGCCACCCAAGTGTCCTGACTCCACTCTATTTTACAATGTTGATTCTCAAAGCCCCAAGAAGTAGGCATGGCTGATGTTATTTATGTCCAGTGTATAAAAGTTAAATTCCTTACTCAAGGTCATGCAGAGCCAGGACCTGGTTTCCAGTGGTTACTCCATGGCCATTCTTCCAAGATTGGGACAGTCTTAACTGTCGGTACAAGGTAGGGCCACCATATATGGTTGTGGAGGCTATTCCCTGAATAGACAGCAACTGGACCACTTATGATTTACTTGCTGGATCTTCCATGCACCATAGCCTGGCATTACCTCTGTGCTGAGGGAGGAGCTTCTCTTTCTAATTTATACAAAGATGTCTAGAAGGCTTGTGGGAGTTGCTTACAAGGCTAAGCTTGTACATAAAACATGAAGCATGAAACTGATGTGGATGGTGTTGGCTTCTTCCTAGGAACCTGTTCACTGCCCCCCAATTCCTCCAAATCCCATCCTCTCCTAAGGAATTTAGAAACTAAATTATTTATTAAGCCTGGGAATTTTACATTTGCACTGAATTCTATACCTTAAGAAATATTTTATTTATTTGAGAGAGGGGGTACAAGTGGGGAAAAGGGCAGAGGGAGAAGGAGAAGCAGACTCCCCACTGGGCAGGGAGTCCAGTGCTGAGACTCGATCCCAGGACCCTGAGATCATGACCTGAGCCGAAGCCAGGTGCTTAACCAGCTGAGCCACTCAGGTGCCCCTATGCTTGCTTTTTTTTTTTTTAAACTGCTTTTTATTGACCCACTACCCTATGTCAGACACAGGCTTATGCTAGGACTGTGGTTATGAGAAGAGACACAGCCTCTGCCTGTACTGCAGGAGTGGGGCTGCATCCACGGTGCACAACCATAAGTGTTTTCATGGTGACACCATTTGGAGAGGGTCACCGAGCCCTAACTTAGGAGGTCAGGGAAGGAAGTCTTCCTAGCAGAGAGGAAATCCATGCAGAAACTGAAGATGATGGGAGTTAGGAAGAGGGAAGGGCAAAAAGTAGCCCAGGCTGATGAAATGCATGGAAGTTTCAAAAGACCCAAAGGGCTTCTCAGACTTTGACATGCCTAGGGAATCACCGGCAAATGGTAATACTAGTTCTTTTCAGTAGGTCTGGGGAAGGGTCTAGAACTTCTGCTCCCAGGTGATCCCATGCTGCTGATGCATGTATCCCACTGAGCAGCAAGGACAGAAAGCAGCAGACTGAAGACTGATTTCCACGTCTACAGTGTGTGTCTCCTCCCTGCCAGATCCCCCACACCGGGCACCATGCCCGACACATCACAAATGCTACCCCACAAACTCATGGAGTAAATTATATCAATATGCAAATCGACAAGGGTTGACCATTGAAGCTGGAGAGGTTAGGAAGGGCCAGGAATGCAGCCACATTAAAGACTTGGCTTGAGTCATGGCCTCAGGGTCTGGGATCGTTGGACTCCCTGCTCAGTGGGGTTTCTACTCGGCCTCTCTCTCAAAATAAATAAATAAAATCTTAAAAAAAAAAAAAGAGCAGTGTTTGGGAAAGAGGGTGGGGGTGAGGGGTGTTCAATATATCATCAGATTTACATTTTAGAAAGATATCTCCAGTAGAGTGGGGAGATGGAACAAAGCATAGGAGACTGGAGTTTGGGGCCCACTTAGGAATGACCCCGGTGACAAGATGGTTGTGGCCTGCTGGCCCAGGGTGGGGGGTCAAGGCAGGTGAGAAAGAGGAATATCCAGGGATGTCTCCTCCAATGACTGAGTGTGGGGACTTTGTCAGTGGTGCCTGCTGACTGGCTCTGCCCTCAGTCTACCCAGTCCCGGGCAGCGTCCAGGAAGCCAGAAGCATAGCATTTCCTGTCAGGAGCTTCTCATCTGGCCTGAAGTAACACATGCCGAGTGTCTAACACAGAGCCCCATGTAGATGAGGTGCTCAGTGCGTGTTTGTTGAGTGACTTTGGAAGGAACTTGGCAGCTACCAAGAAACAGATGAGTGCAAGAGAAGCATGTGATTCAGAGCGAGGGCAGGAGGGCCGAGGTGGGAGCAGCGTGGGGCCAGACTGGCTGCTGATGCCTCCGAGGAGCAGACTGAGCAGACATGGGTGGGAGGAGAGGGGGAGGGAGGCAGAGTTTGCTTCTACTTTCAAAATGTCTAGTTTAATAGACTAGAATGTTCAGCATTTTGAAGCAGTATAGAGTCCCATGAAGGGACGGCACCCCTGTTGAGATTTCAGAATGTGAAATGTCATCATCTAAAGGAATTTTTTATTTTTTTTCTCTGATTTTTAAATTGAATCACTTCTACTATGGAGAATACATGAAGATATGAAGGAAAACAATCACCCCAAAGACTCAGACAAATAATACTATGCTACTAGCTTTTTTGATGTGTTTCCTTTTAGGTTTCGTCTTGCACGTGTTAAATAATTGAGATTTTGATGTGTATGCAACTTGAAGTCATATATTTGAAGTCAAAATATAAACATATAATTAATCTTTGATCATAAAAATATCCTCCTCATTTAAAATTCCCCATAAATATAATTTAGAAATAATTCATTAATACTCCCTCCGCTGTTGGATATTTATGAGGCTCTAAACTTTATTAAACACAATGCCGAGGGGAGTATCTTAGGTAAAGATATTTATTGACATTCTGAGG